TAACCTAAATACAAACTATTACATAGTATAAGACAGGAATTGGCAACCCAAGTACAAACTATTACATGGTATAAGACAGGAGTCAGTAACCTAAATACAAACTATTACATAGTATAAGACAGGAATTGGCAACCCAAGTACAAACTATTACATGGTATAAGACAGGAGTCAGTAACCCAAATACAAACTATTACATGGTATAAGACACGATTTGGCAACCTAAATACAAACTATTACATAGTATAAGACAGGAATTGGCAACCCAAGTACAAACTATTACATGGTATAAGACAGGAGTCAGTAACCCAAATACAAACTATTACATGGTATAAGACAGGATTTGGCAACCTAAATACAAACTATTACATGGTATAAGACAGGATTTGGCAACCTAAATACAAACTATTACATAGTATAAGACAAGATTTGGCAACCCAAGTACAAACTATTACATAGTATAAGACAGGAATTGACAACCCAAGTACAAACTATTACATGGTATAAGACAGGAGTGAGTAACCCAAATACAAACTATTACATGGTATAAGACAGGATTTGGCAACCCAAATAACAACAGCCATTTTATTTCAAATTCAAAAGGCAAGATACTAAGAGCCACATGTATCCTCTGTTTCAGTGGGGTACAATCGATCATTGTCGGGAGCTGTACATGCATTGTTAAATAGCTCCATACAGCTCAGGAGCTGTACGTGCATTGTTAAATAGCTCCATACAGCTCCGGAGCCACAGGTTGCTAAAAATAGTTCTCAGTGTAAAAAGAAAAGCTACATAAAGAAATTGATAAATACAACTAGATTTTAACAATTGGGTCACACACTAAAAATTGTTGTGTGAGAATATAAGAGCTGGTTTTTCTTATATCTCATATTTTTATGTCTACATCCAAATACTTTAAAACTATGGTTTATAAGATATTTAAAATCTATTTCTTTATATGATAATCATTATTATTAGTACTTTTACTTAAACTCTTATCAAAAAAGTGGTAATAACATAGTTTTAACAGTATCAAAAAATGCAAAACATTATAATTTGTAAATAATAAAAATGCTAGCCCTAACGTAACTAGACCTTTATTTCAGAAAACAAATCTGGATATATTGAATGGATGGATGATATGTATGATGCAAAGACTGACATCACCAGAACTTGAAAGATAAAAGTTTGGATAGCAACATGTTCCAAAGTAATAGAATTCACTCTGCCCTCTAGACCTGGTGAGTTTTAGACACTTTTATATTAAATATGTAAAATTTGTTACACAGTACTGCTATAGTACAATGTATAAACTGTTTAATAACGTCAAATTGTAAAATGAAAAAGAAGAGAAACTTCCTACCTTGCAGCATTGAGGTACAAAGTTCTTTTATTTCTTCTTCTCTAATTCCTCTCCCCTGAACAAATTACAAATTATAATTCAACATCATAAACTAAAAAAAAACATAATGTGGAAAAACTTGTAATTTTACTTTAGTAGTTAATTTTAGGTTAAATTCCTAAAACCAGTTAGTGGGAAAACAAAATCCTAACTGATAAACTAAACTCATCAGTTAACAGGGGTGAAAGATATGTATAAAGACTAATTATTATGTATGTCAATGCTACAGTTTTTACTTTGATTTGATCAACTGTTCATTGAACCATCTTGCAAGTTTTCTTGTAATAATATGGTTTGGTAAGCTTATTAAACTCAAACATAAAGGACTTACTTGTTGAACCTGAGTTCAATCATTTGCTGAATTGTTACACATAACATCAGAAACTTAAGCATTTTTGGTTTTTTTAAATCTGTATGTTTCCTTCATATCAGTTGAACGTTGATATATTTTAAAATGGGAATCCCACTATGATTATAACTTTTAGGAATTAATAACACAAATGATGAACTGTTGTCACTAATGCATCATGATGTTGAATCCTTTTTATTATAACTTTTAAGTACAAATAAGATGAATGATAGATCTTGATATTGATACCTTTTCAAATTGATAGCTTGAGCATTTTGAACCTGATGAACACGTTATCTTAAAGGCCACATTCATAACATAACCATCCCTAACTACTAATTAGGGTAACCATTCAACAGCACTTACACCACTTCTCATAAATTAACTGTCACAGCTGAAAGAGTAGTGTGTGTTCATCTGCATGTTGTGACTCAAAACTGAACCTTTCTGATCTGCAGCCTAGCATGCCATTCATTTTAAGTATTAACATAAAAGATAATTTGAACCTATTGTTTTCATTCAGCCATCTCCATCTCTTTTCATTTTAACTAACATAAAAGATAATTTGTGGTGAGGCACACACCAGTATGGTCTGATCTCACTCTAACCAAACTACACTTCTTGGTTTGCCAACAACTTGTATGCGGGTGCTTGGTTAGTCATGTAAAAAATTCTACCCATCCTTGCAACACTTGGGGTTCTTTTCCTTTACCCCTCTTCCTTTCAGCCAAAGAGTATACACTAGTCAAGATGAGATGCAATCTACCATGGGTCTCCCCCTATAGAACCTCTGCCACTGGGTGTTACACTCCATGGGCTTTCCCTTCAAGCATGGGTGTGCCCTTATAGAACCTCTCCCACTGGGTGTTACACTCCATGGGCTTTCCCTTCAAGCATAGGTGTGCCTCTATAGAACCTCTGCCACTGGGTGTCACACTCCATGGGCTTTCCCTTTCAAGCATGGGTGTGCCCCTGCAGAACCTCTGCCACTGGGTGTTACACTCCATGGGCTTTCCCTTCAAGCATAGATGTGCCTCTATAGAACCTCTGCCACTGGGTGTCACACTCAATGGGCTTTCCCTTCAAGCATGGGTGTGCCCCTGCAGAACCTCTGCCATTCGGTGTCACACTCCATGGGCTTTCTCTTCAAGCACTTTTGGAAGGGAGCTCATTCTCCCCCTGCACTTTCTTCATGCCTCGTCAAAGAATGAAGTTTTTTCAAGTGTTTAAGGTCAGTGACTGTGCAAGGAAATTGCATCAACCTCCTATTGGTGAAGGGCTATTGTCATATGTCATCATACAGTTCATGTTAAGCACGTGATTTTTAGGTGTGAGAGAGTTCAAGGCTATTGACATGCAAGTCTCATAGTCAGATGCACGAGGTATCGAGCTATTCTGTGTGAATACATTTTCAGGTAAGGATAATTTTAACTTTGTGGCTAAAAACCTGTCATACATTTTGTCAGTCTATTAGCTACTTTTCTTAGCTGAATAACCAACAACCGACTTGATGTTCAGTTATATCTGGGATTTAATATGTCCTGTTTTTATCAAGTGAAACAATGACATTAAATAAAAAGAAATTGTTAATTTCAATAGATTAGTCATTTTTTGTTGAAACAAATGTAAATTAACGATATAGCATACATATTTCTAACCCTACAAGCAGGCATATGTGACTAACATGATTACGTATTGCCCCCAGTTTTTTATTGCTATTGACCATTCAATTTTTACACATCTAAGATTGTAAAACTTTTTTAACATAGGTAGTGTCACTACTAACATGTACTCCCCACCCTCACCCCAAATTCTGAAGTCCCTCTATAAATATGAATTAAAGACTTGTATATAATTATCAGGTAAACTTGTTTCAACTTTACATTCAATGGTCATGCTTAACATAGCAAATAAAGTGTCTCCCCCCCCCTCTCCAAAAATGAGAATTTGTTTTGTCTCCCACATTTGTTTGTAACGAAACATTGTATACCCAGTGATATAAATGTTAACTGGCTGAAGTTTTGGTATTTCTCTGTCAGCTGCGTATTGAATGCACAATGAAGGATAACAATAAAACAAATATCACCTACTGGAAGACCAGGAAGTCCTGGTATTCCTGGTTGACCTCTTCTTCCAGGTGTTCCAGGTATTCCTGGGGGCCCTCTGGCTCCAGGTATTCCAACAGGACCAGGCAGACCCGGTGGCCCTTGATTTCCAGGGGCACCCCGTTCACCAGGCTTCATGCCAAAAATAAACAATTTACGTGTAAATTTGAAAGAAAATTAACACTAAAGAGAGCATTTCCTAATTATCAAACTAATTTAAGAAATTAGGAATTTTAACATTTTATAAACACCAGTGCAAATACTAACTATATTTTGATGACAGAAACATGTATTAAAGTCCTAATTGTACCAGTGAAAGTGCCAAAGGCTGGACATAAAAAAAACTTGATTAGTTGAATTGTTTGTTTCAAGTTTTTTAGGCATGTTAGCTGCTTCATCTGTTTCTTAGATTAAAATTATCACTGGAATAAAATTGAATTACCATAAGCTTACTTCACAGTTCAATACCATGATATTAATTCAATAACTTTAGAATAAAGATAAATAACAAGCATTTTATAAAGAGTGAATAATTTGAAGTAATTATGAAGTTTCATTATTCGGATAAAAGTAAGGGATAAAAAACTGAATGTTATAAACACTTGATTTTTTTCATTAACTTATAAACATTTCAATTAAAACAATAAAAAAAGAGCTTATAAACCATAAACTATGTACCATTATTTCTCTGTTTTATTAAACAAATCATCACTAAATAGATTCAATGCAAGTTTAAACAATAACAATAAAAACTTGTTTCTTAACAAAAAAACATTTGACATTTAAAAAGACTGAGTGAAAACAATGACAAATAATTACAATAGCAGATTTTACAGAAGAGGATGTTTAGCCAAAATATATGTGAAAAAAAATAGCATTTGTTGTGTTTGAATTTCTTTAATACACTCCAAAATATTACTGTTCATTATATATATATATATATTCCAGATTTAACAATTAGATAGATAAGAAACTCACCAATCCTGGCCAACCTGTACGACCCATGGAACCCTAGAGGAAGAAACACATTAAATATAAAACTAAAAATATATAATACTGAATAAGAATTATTTAAGCTTGCAATATGATGGGTTTTTTAAATTGTTACTAGGGTTCTGTAATTATTAAATTTGGTTTACGTTTTTCGAAACTGTTTACGAGATATTATTTGGTTCTGTAATTATTAAATTTGGTTTACATTCTTTGGAATTGTTTACAGTATATTTGGTTCTGTAATTATTCAATTTAGTTTACATTCTTTGGAATTGTTTACAGTATATTATTTGGTTCTTGTAATTATTCAGTTTAGTTTACATTCTTTGGAATTGTTTACAGTATATTATTTGGTTCTGTAATTATTCAGTTTAGTTTACATTCTTTGGAATTGTTTACAGTATATTATTTGGTTCTGTAATTATTCAGTTTGGTTTACATTCCTTAGAACTGTTTATGGCAGCATTTTCGCAACTTTAAATAGAGGCACACTCCCCTAATTCAGCAAAGTTTCCCTTGCACCTACCTTCACATAGAAATAATTTTCTCAAATGATAACAGCAAAATCATCATTTTTCTGTACCTGTTTTTAATAATTTTTTAAAAATAAAACGTAAGAGCAAAATAGCTTGGAGAGCAAAGTGACAGTTTTATTAGGTTATCTTTGTCTCCAACCTCTTCTGTTTCTTTTGGGCTCTCCAGCAAAAAAGGCTATGTCCCCCCCCTCCAGCCACCAGTATGCACCCCCCCCCCCCGCACACACATAGGGTTATTGAGTTTTTGTATTATTCTATTTGATTTACTTTTGTTGAAACTTTAACAGTAATTTCTGTAATGTTCTATACTTTTTTGTGCTGTCTGTTTATACAATGTTTATAATCACAGACTGCAGCACAGACATAAATGTTTGTCCAGTTCTAAATATCAGCTGTCCATGAAATATGTTAGTATAGTCAACTTTGTCTACATTATTCATAAAATGTAATGAAACAAACGTGTTATGTTAGCCAAGTATCTATTCATCAGAGAAAGCTAATGCTTACTCTTTAGGACTTCATGACAAAAACTGAAAAACATTAAATATATATATATATTTGAACTACAGTCAGATATTTGCTAAACCTACTTATATTTGTTGCCATCTACTCTTTCAATATTTGTGGGTGATAGAGACAAGCCTTTTTATAATGTGTTTTTAAATGATTTTGTATAGAGACAAGCCTTTTTATAATGTGTTTTTAAATGATTTTGTATAGAGACAAGCCTTTTTATAATGTGTTTTTAAATGATTTTGTATAGAGACAAGCCTTTTTATAATGTGTTTTTAAATGATTTTGTATAGAGACAAGCCTTTTTATAATGTGTTTTTAAATGATTTTGTATAGAGACAAGCCTTTTTATAATGTGTTTTTAAATGATTTTGTACATTGAATAATGAAGGAGTTAAGAACTGCCTCAAGTTGATTTTCATGCTGCTAATGTAGCCATCAGGATGTATAATTTTTAGTTTACAATCTGTTCTTTAATGATGCTGTAAACATCAAGGCATATATTGTTTTGGTTTATAACCTGTTCTTTAATACTGATGCAGTAAGTTAGATATCTTTAAAACCAAATCAGGAATTTTTCTTCTGAAGGCTTAAAAATGTAACGATTGTTAGCGAAAAACTATGAACTTGGAATTGTTCTTATGAATGTGGCATACTTAGTTAAAGTTAAGAAACTGGAATGTTTCTGATAAGTACATTATTAAGGAAAAAAACTAAAACCCTGGGTTTTTTCTTATATATGCATTTTAAAATAAAACCATTAATTTGGACTTCTTAGTTATATAGAAGGTTGATTAGAACGTATATTGTTTATAGTTGGAAATATTAACTTTAACTAAACATTTTTAATTTGTCTATAGACAAGGTTAATTGTAGAGATTTCTCTTGTTTTGTATACAAAATTAATATTTAAAAAAAATATATGAACATTTTTATTAAAAAAGTGATTTTAAAATTTTACATATCTGGATTTTTGTAAAACACTTGTTAAGTGTACTTTCAGTATTTGAAACGGTGAAATAACTAAGCATGGTCAACATTCTGTATGTATGTGTAATCTAATACGTAATGTACTCACCTTTGGACCCTGCATGCTGCTCTGCTCATCAAACTCAACTCCACTGTTACCCTAAAATAAAAGTAATCGTTTAGTGCTTTCTGTTTTCTTCAGTAAAACAAGAGAGAGAGAAATATTTATACTAAACGTTAAATCTGGGACAACTTTTTTGGAGTTAGAATATCTCAGAACCTAAACAGGGAATGTTTGTTGGGTTTAGAAAATATCAAAACTTGAATTGGGAAACTTTATTAAGCATCATTAAAATTTAGTAATACAGCACATACTTTCAAAATTCATGAAAGTTAATATTTTCCTAAACTGTATTTCCAATAGGTACTTATCTCCTTCCCACAAAAGGCTTTCTTGACTTATACTGCCCTTTACTGGCATGGTTTTCCTTTGGGTGCTTCCTAAAGGGGGTCATCTTCTCACTGACCCTCCATCACATCAGTTCAATGTGGGATCTTAGCTTTTTATGAGGAGAGGTAAGACATTGTATCGAAAGTTAGCATTTTCCTAAACTGAAAATGTATTTCCAAGAGATACTTCCCTTCCCTCACATTTCTCACCTGTCCTCTCCACTTCAGGTGTGGTTTGGTGTGATCTGACCAATCTCTAAATGGTTAACAGCTGCAAGATTAGAGAAATTACGATAGGGGTAATGTCACACTCCTATTGGTGGAGGGTTGCTACATAATGATTTGCATGTTAGTATGCAGATATCTCATGTTAACATATGAAAACTTGTGCCAGTAGAGGGCAGTATAACTCAAGAAAGCTTTTTGTGACAGAAGGTAAGATATTGTATCAGAATAACAAAACACTGACTGTAGCTCACAAAGCACCATCATTAAACTTTACTACTACAGTACATACTGTCAGGATACATTAAATAACAAAACACTGACTGTAGCTCACAAAGAACCATCATTGAACTTTACTACTGCAGTACATACTGTCAGGATAATTAAATAACAAAACACTGACTGTAGTTCACAAAGAACCATCATTAAACTTTACTACTACAGTACATACTGTCAGGATACATTAAGTAACAAAACATTGACTGTAGTTCACAAAGAACTACATTAAGGAGTCATTAAGTAAAAAAAGTGTTAACTACATGTTTGTTTGTATGGTTCTCCATGTCGGGTATATATATTGATTGCAATATTTAAATAATACATTTTGCTAAATACCTTTTGTCCTGGTGGCCCTGGTGGTCCCTAAGGTGGTAAAGCAACATAAGTATTAGTATTTATCATAAACTAACCTCACATTTAAAATGTTTAAATCATGAAAAGATATAGAACAGTAACATATTCACTTGAAGTATCAAGAAGAGAATTTAGTTTAATAAAACAAACATTACGTTCTTGCCATAAGTTACTAAATCTTTACAAGGAAACATTATCGCAGTAGATACTGTTGAGGTCTTATAAATTTCTGACTGTACTTTTCTAACATTACTTATAACATGGCCATGCACTTACAGGCTTTCCATCATTCCCATTATGTCCTGGACGTCCTGGAGGTCCTGCAGGTCCAGTTACACCCTTTAGTAGTAATTATTAGAATACTTTCTCTGACCATCCAATATGACACATTATCACACAGAAAAAACTTGTCACTAGCTATTATGAACTATTCCAATATGATATTGTTGATTATAATTTAACCAGAGAAAACAAGATTAAACTGAGACATAGAAATAACAATTATATTTAATGAAAAGGGTTAGAAATTTTAATTATATATTTTTTTTTAGATTGGCTAGAAAATAACAATGTATGAAAAGGAATATTGTAAATTAAAAAAATTAAAAGTTTGAAATATTTGCAAATTAAACAGATAACTTATTTATAGTAATAGGTGGCTATTCGTGTATTGAGAACATTTATCAAAAGAAACTGGATTATTAATATACCTGAATACCAGGTAATCCTGGTGGACCATCCTGTCCTGGGGAACCTCTATCTCCCTGTAAAGTGAAAGCTAAGTCTTAAAATTATTAACACACTAGATAAAACCAGTTGACAGCTAAGCCGATCATGATATGACTAAATCAGAGTACCATATCTACCATGACTAAATCAGAGTA